TCCATCCATGAGGTTTACTGCAAATTGGTTATTTTGCCCCTTGACACATAGAATGATGCTTACTACAAATTGGTTATTTTGCCCCTTGACACATAGAATGATGCTTACTACAAATTGGTTGTTTTGCCCTTTGACACATAAAATGATCCGTACCTGTCCATCTATAAGGTTTATTACAAATTGGTTATTTTGCTCATCTACTCCTGTAGTTTACTTTGTATTTTTCAATTTATGTCACACTTTACATTGCATTGCATCATTTTATCTTTGCTTCTATATATATAGGCAAGTCTGGATTACTTTGGAAACAGGAGGACTGACCTGAGTGTAGGATCTAAGTTTCAAGGTGTTGAAACACCAAGCCAAGTAAGTCTTAACCTTTAGTACCTACTGTATTGCAGTTTTGTCACTCTTATATGTGTAAGTAAGACTATTGATTCATTATTTTTTGAAAAGATGCTTTCAAGATTTATTCATAGGTGTCGTCCTTTAAATGTATTGTTTGGCTTTAGGAATTTTCTGTATTAATAATTGTTATGCCACAAATAAGTTATAAGGAAGTTCAGAATTAATTCTAGAAAAGTATAATTATGAGGGGGGAAGGTAAACCTCAAATTGGAAGAGTGTTTGTTTAGACTATTCACTACTGTTGTAATTCATATGTTGGATCAATGTTATATGTTTGGCTGTTAAATTTCTCAAGGAACTAACTAAACCAATTGGGGGATATCACACATAAAATACTAAGGGGATACCAGTTGTAATTAGGTCATTAGTCATCTAAAGATTTTACACCAGTAGTAATTAGGTCATTAGTCATCTAAAGATTTTACACCAGTAGTAATTAGGTCATTAGTCATCTAAAGATTTTACACCAGTAATAGTTAGGTCATTAGTCATCTAAAGATTTTACAGTATAATACTTGTGATAAAATATCTCATTTTACTTTTACGTTTATGAGTCTTGTTAATCCCAATAAAATCTCACTGATAGTTCTTAGTGACTGTTTCCCAACACAACCTATCTGATAACTTCTTGTGTGACTGTTTCCCAAGAAAACCCTGCTGGTAGCACTAAATAACTGTTTCCCAACAGAACCCAGCTGATAGCTCTTAGTGACTGTTTCCCAACCAGAACCGAGCTGATATCTCAGAGTGACTGTTTCCCAACCAGAACCGAGCTGATATCTCAGAGTGACTGTTTCCCAACCAGAACCCAGCTGATAGCTCTTGGTGTAACTATCATTAAAAAAGAATAATACATTATTAGGCATAAGCTGAATGGTTTGTTTTAATAAAATCTTTTGCTACACAATCAGAGTTGGCACTATACAATACACTGGAGTTGACAGATATTTTTTCCCTACACATAGCGAGAAGTAATTTTCGCAAGTATACTTAGTAATAGCCCATCCATTTAAGCCGGTGAACTTTAGTTTTCCTAATAAAGAAAGTAAGCTAGAAATGAATTTATAGTGATTAAAAGACGATATTTATCCTAGAACATTTATACCTGAGTATATATATTATTGAATATATATATTTATTGAAGTTTTAAAACAATTATCTGTGGGATAATAGTTATTTCTGTACAATGATTTGTCTCTATCAGAAATAACACAATGTTGTACAACATATCTCTCTCTTAGAGATGAAACATTGTTCAGAAATATAACTTTATCCCACAGATAACTGTTTCAAAACTTCATATTGTTCTTAAGTGGGTACCTCTTAGAAAGCAAGTATAGAATTTTTTATTCATACAGCTTAAGAAGTTGTAATTATCAACATAAAACTGAGTGAAACAGTGAAGGTTTGTTGAATGAAAATATCGTTAAACTTGAAGTATCAGATTACTAAATAAGTTTTTAAACATTCTAGAAGCTGAATAAGACAAGTAAGTAGAGATTTACCCAAGGAGTTTGGGTTAGTGGTTAAGTTTCATCTTGTAGTTGTGTAAGTTTGTTTAAAAAAGATGTATTGTTAATAAAATGCAATAAATGAGAAATTAACAGCCATGCAAAGTTTCTTTAGCATTTGCATACTCACCATATTCTACATAAATTGGCCAAGATTTTTACAGCATCTAAGTGAAGTGTAGACCAAGTCAATCATGTAATCTGACTAGTAATTTGTCAGGAGTTATAGGTGAAGTATAGGTGAAACCTAGCTCATAATCTGGCTAATCGTCTATGGCTAATGTAGTCCATGTCAGTCATGTGAACTGGCTAGTTGACCATCAGGACTCTTGTTTCAGTGTAGATCAAACTTAGCATGTAATCTGATAAAAGTCCACCTTTTAGGCTTAGTGTAAATTGAGCATAACATAATTTGGTAATAGTCCATCATACTTCTAAGCCTAGTGTAGATCAGGTGAAATGTAATCTGGTTAGTAGTCCACCAGGGCTCTAGGTTCAGTGTTGATCAAACCTAGCATGTTCAATCTGGTTAATAGTGTACCATGCCTCTAGACCTAGTGTTAACAGATCCCCTAATATTTAGTCTGGCCAGTAGTCCAGTATGGATTCTAGGCTGTTTTGATCAAATTTATCATGCAGTTTGGCTAATAGTGTATCATAGCTTTTATGCCCAATGTTAATTTAACTTAGCAAATAATTTAGCATAATGGCTTCTAAATACACCAGTGTTAATCAAACCTAACGTATCATCTGGCTAATACTCGAACATGACTATAGACCTGGTGTTTATCAAATCTAGCATGTAATCTGGTTATACCTTCTAGACAACTTTGGTACATATTTTGGTGAGATTGTAAGTTTTAGTTGAAAAAAAACAGAAACATAAAACTCTAAAACAAGACCTAAAGAGTTCTGTGAGAATATTACTAGAACTTCAGTGTAATTTTCTTGGTTTAACTATATGTTATATGGTTTTAAATATGACTAGCTTGTTTTGTGTACCATTACAATTTAAAAGATTTTGTATCTGATTTCAGACTTGGACAGTGCTGTGGTTTGATTCATATGTTAGCAGCATATTTCAGTTTTAGTACTTGCTTTCTAATGTTTACAAATTTGATTTTATAGAGTCGTTATGTAGGCTACTTTCAGCAGATTAAGGAAAAACTTGAGGGTGAACCTCCAGCTGATGTGCCAACTTTGAAAATACGTCAGATCAAAATCTGTGCTTTAGCAGGTAAATTTTTGAGTGTTAGTTGTTTTCAAAGAATGTTTAATGGACATGTGCTACTAACCTGAGGGTATGTTTTTCAGAAATGTATGTTATAACTGGAGGTAATGTGCTTGAGGGATGTATATTATTAACTTGAGGTTAAGTACTCTACTGCTTTCCTAGGAATTATGATAACTTTGTGTGTTTCCTTCACTACTTTTATAGGAGCCTTTATAATTTGGCATATTTTTCCTATATTGCTTTCCTAGGTGTGATAATAACTTATGTTCATCAATATACATTTTTATTCCAGTTATAGTTAATTGCAAAAACACTGTTTCCAACAGATGATTATAACTTGATTACGTTTCCTTTACTGCTTTTCTAGGAGTGTTGATAATTTTGTATTTCCTATTCAGCACTACTTACCTTTTAACACAAGTTATTTGAAATGTGTTTTATCTTACACATAAAGTATTTAACAGATTTCAATAAAAGTTACTTGTTATGCATATGTCTATAAATCCATTGTAATCCAAGTGCTTTCAAAAGGTGGACCTTTCTTCTTCAGGGGCAGACTGAGAATCCCAGTTTGCTCCTGAAGAAGAAGAAAAGTCCACCTTTGAAAATTGCTTACATTATGGGTTTTTTACCATTTTGTATCAAAACTTATTGAACCCACGTGTTTTTCTCACATCATGAATCTATAAATCCATTGGTGTGAAATAGTATTTTACTTTTAGGTTGTGATAAACATGAAATTTTGAAATAGCATCTGCAGGAGATTTCAAATACAGTAATCAGAAGGGGAGTATCTTATATGCTGGACTCTGTAAATGTATTGGTCTGAAGTAATATCTTATTTGCAGGTGTCAATAAATTCATTGGTCTAAGTAATATCCTGTTTGCAGGTGTCAATAAATTCAGTGGTCTGAAGTAATATCCTGTTTGCAGGTGTCTATAAATTCAGTGGACTGAAGTAACATCCTGTTTGCAGGTATCTGTAAATTCAGTGGACTGAAGTAACATCCTGTTTGCAGGTATCTGTAAATTCAGTGGTATGAAGTAATATCCTGTTAGCAGGTATCTGTAAATTCAGTGGTATGAAGTAATATCCTGTTTGCAGGTGGCTGTAAATTCAGTGGTCTGAAGTAATATCCTGTTTGCAGGTGTCTGTAAATTCAGTGGACTGAAGTAACATCCTGTTTGCAGGTATCTGTAAATTCAGTGGTCTGAAGTAATATCCTGTTTGCAGGTATCTGTAAATTCAGTGGTATGAAGTAATATCCTGTTTGCAGGTGGCTGTAAATTCAGTGGTCTGAAGTAATATCCTGTTTGCAGGTGTCTGTAAATTAGTGGTCTGAAGTAATATCCTGTTTGCAGGTGTCTGTAAATGCAGTGGTCTGAAGTGATATCATGTTTGCAGGTGTCTGTTAATGCAGTGGTCTGAAGTGATATCCTGTTTGCAGGTGTCTGTAAATGCAGTGGTCTGAAGTGATATCCTGTTTGCAGGTGTCTGTAAATGCAAATTCAGTGGTCTGAAGTAATATCCTGTTTGTAGGTGTCTGTAAATGCAGTGGTCTGAAGTTATATCTTATTTGCAGGTGTCTATAAATGCAGTGGTCTGAAGTAATATCCTGTTTGCAGGTGTCTGTAAATGCAGTGGTCTGAAGTTATATCTTATTTGCAGGTATCTATAAATGCAATGGTCTGAAGTTATATCTTATTTGCAGATGTCTATAAATGCAGTGGTCTGAAGTAATATCCTGTTTGCAGGTGTCTGTAAATGCAGTGGTCTGAAGTAATATCCTGTTTGCAGGTGTCTATAAATTCAGTGGTCTGAAGTTATACCTCATTTACAGGAGTCTGTAAATGCAATAACCTGAAGTAATATCTTTATTTACAGGTGTTGGTAAAAGCAATGGAAGTGACTTTTCCTGTGAAATATTTCTTGAACGAAACAAAGTGTTTGATTGTAATTTTGGAGATTGCAAGAATTGTCAGGTAAACAAAGATTTTTACAACAGTAATAGTGTAATTGTCTGTCAAGATCATTCAAGTAAGGTTATTCTAAACATATGAGAAAAGTTAGCAGGTAGGAAATGAAAACCTGTGGATTAACTCAATAGTTACAATTCCTACGTAATTTCCTGCAAAGTTCTTGAATATGTTTTTGTAAGAGAGAGAGAGAGAGAGAGAATATTTTGAGAATACTATTTGTTGTTTTTTATAACTGACCTGCATTCAAACCAAGTTTTAACTTTACCAGGTAGAATACCAGAGTGAACCAGATGTCTTACTTGTAACTTTACTTAACTGTCCAGATCTAAGTGGTGATGTGAAGCTCCGATTTCAGTGCACTACGGTAAGTCTAACTTTCACGAACGTGCCCAGGACTTAAGGTAGTTATAACTAATTTTTACTGGTGTTTTGAGAAGGAAATAACTGTTAGATTGATTTAATATAATCAAAGTTTCTTCTGATAAATTATTATTCCATCTGAATTTTTGCAAGTAAGTCTTGGCTTTATAACCTAAACTGATAAAACTTATGAATGCTCAATTTAATTTTATAGTTAAAAATCTTCACTGTTAACATGATGTTGATAATTGACAGAAACCTAGATTTGAATTGAATCTATCTAAATTGAATAGGGTGTTATTTAATTACTTTTTTTTCAGAAAGATACATTTTTCTACAACTCATTTGAAGATTTTTATCAAAATCTTGCATCTGTATGTAAAATTAGTTAACATACCTAACTGCTATTAAGTAAAAGTTCCTTTGTTTAACATACTATGAATGCTATATAGCTACAAAGAAATAATGTATGTTCAATAATTACAACTTGTTTTCAATTTTCTGTTTCTCTTGTGTAATTTAGTTGCATGTTCCTGGTGGTTGCTTTTAGTCACATTATACTTCTTCAGGTTTTCCTTTTAGCAGGAGTTATCGTCCTGCAGTGTATTGCCCTCTTCCAATCATCTTTATTCATTACCAGATCTTCCCTTCTTGTTCAGGTCTTCTTTGTCCCATCTTTCTAACACTATTCATTGTTGAGAAGATTTATATCATGTGAGATAATGTAAGGATCACTTGGTGCCATGTGAAAGTGACTCTTCTACTTCATTTGATTGAACACATTATGTTTGTTCATAAAACCTGACTATCCATACTGAATACTTTGCATTACATGTATCTTTTGTTTCCTGACTAACTTTACATATTTTAATTGTTTGTATTAGTTCAATTTTTAGTTTATTGGAAAGGCAGAATAGATTTTCAAATCTCTAAAAACAAACTATCAGTGATATAGAAATACATTATATGTAAACTATTTACAGAAAAGTGTTCCCAGAGGTTATGAAAACTGTCCATTCTACTTCTGGTTTCATACCAGTTTTATAGAGAACAAGAGGTAAGAGGTTCACTCATATGTAATCACTGTGACTAATATTATTATCTCATACCAGTTTTTATCCTAAAGCATTCATTATCTTACTACTTGATCTAAATTTTAAGATGCTCACTTTTGGGCTTTGTGTAATTAGAATGATAATGTGATTTTTAGCTATGACCAATATGAATATTATTATTAGTGTAGAACAGTTCTGTGATTTTAGTTATGTCCAGTGTGAATATCACTATTAGTGTATAATAGTCCTGTGATTTTAGTTATGTCCAGTGTGAATATTACTATTAGTGTAGAATAGTCCTGTGATTTTAGTTATGTCCAGTGTGAATATTCACTATTAGTGTAGAACAGTTCTGTTATTTTAGTTATGTCCAGTGTGAATATCACTATTAGTGTAGAACAGTTCTGTGATTTTAGTTATGACCAATATGAATATTACTATTAGTGTAGAACAGTTCTGTGATTTTAGTTATGGCCAGTGTGAATATTACTATTAGTGTAGAACAGTTCTGTGATTTTAGTTATGACCAGTGTGAATATTACTATTAGTGTAGAACAGTTCTGTGATTTTAGTTATGTCCAGTA